TGTTCAGGTTAAAAATATATATTTGGTACTTGATTTTAAAAAATGACTTAACCACATCTCGCAGCGCTTATGCTCTTCCACCTGCTGGGCCGCCATTACGCCGTCATTCAACACAGTGAAAAGAGACAGGATAGGGAAACCGCGATTAAACATCCGCCATTGTTTTATGTTTAACAGTCATATTAGATTCGAACCAACTCGCTGTCGAGCTAGCTCTACCGGCCATGTAGAAGAAAGCACCTTTATCCCAAATTTAGTGTTACGTTTCAGATATTTTTTAAACCTCTGTTACAGTTGTTAGTTATTTATTTTTAAAGAGAACACGTCGTCAAATAGGTATGTGTAACAGTTCACAACATTTCCACTGTCACTGCAGTTATAAATAAACATAATGAAAACTTAATCGTTGATGTTTGCTAGCATACTCATTTTGTCGGTCACATCGGTTTTTTCGGACAGCTCGTTGGATTTTGACCTTGAGGACGGTTATTCCTAAATTGACCTAGAGTTGTAGGAAAATTGTGCTACTTTTAAGTAGGGTTCAGTGATGTAGGCCTGAATTGTTTGGTTACACTGGCCATCGGGTATAGCTAGCGAGCCTTAATTTGACGAAGCAACAAAGGAGATCGAAGAGCCGAGACCAGCATTCTTGTTTTTTTTTTAATCGTACTTTATTTTCCTGTGGGGAAGGCTAGGTCTAAGTTTAATTTTTATTTAAGTTTAACTTTAGGTGGGGATAGTTATTTTAGCGCACAGGGCGGTGTTCGCTACGTACTGCTATGGCCTCCAATTTCGAACAATTATAATCCTCCGCGCTTTGCTCGGCCTGTGCTAGGCGCTAGTGTTGACGTTAAAGTCGGAAAAGACTATCCAGACCCGTTGATAGGGTCTAGCCGGGACTGCCCCCCTGTGGCTGGCCAATGGACGACCAATAGGGCAGGTCTACATGTGGAGAATATGCTGAAGAAAGCGCTGTGAGTCTGTGCTTACTGGGAACGGTGGAGGTAAGTTACCCACGTAATTTGTTTTATTTATACAAAAACACGCCGTTTCCGTTCTTTTCGGACCTTACCGAACAAAGAGGTTAGGGCTCTTAGTGTTATTATTGTCTCGGTTTTTGGAAATCCAGCACTCTGGCTCCTCATAACACAAAGACCGGCTTGAACCATCCCAAGGAAACACCAGCTTGGAGGTTTTTGACTTCCTATCAGAGCTCAAATTTCCTCCGATTAGATTTTCTTAATTCCGGTTAATGTAGTCACACTCGGTTGTAATTGCATTTTCCTTACACCTGTGTGTGATTGTAACTTATTTCCTAACCATTTGCTACAATATAACAAAACAATGAGCCAGGCTTTAGGTGCAGTACGATGCATGCTTAGCCAAAATGTTAGAAAACAAATCCAGACTACTGAACCGAAAGCCGGTCAGCCTGTTAGTCACAACACGACTATATTTGCTTTCCGAGTGCATAAAGCGAAAGTAAGAGGATCGCACGTTAAAGCTCAAGTTTCTCAGACTGAAAGTTTTCTGCATTGGGTCGTTCGCGGGAAAAAAAATGGACAACAACGCGAGACTTCTATACATTGAAGAAAATGAGGGGTGGGGGGAGCATCAGCAGCAACATGGCTCAAATGTCCAGCAGCACTCAGCTTGTACATCGTTTACCGTTTGAATGTACACACGACAAGATGAAAACAATTAAATGTAATCGTGAGGAAAGCCTCAGATTCTATCTTCCACAGACAGACAATAGGAAGATTAGTCAGCTAATCAAGTAGCTTGGTCTCACTCACTGCCCCCTCCTTCCCTGTCTGTCATCAAGGGTTAAACACCAGCTATGGCACTAACATGACATGATGAAAGTTTTCTTTTTTAAGAAGAACAAACCTGAGATCACCGCACAGACCATATGTTAGTAGTATATAAATAATTTAGCTGAAAATGATACATGATGTACAAACAAAAACAGTGTTACAAATAATATATTACAAAGTATACTACAAAGAATCAATGATAAAGAAAATAGGCTGTTGTTCTCTCTGTAGTGCTTTGTTGCATTTTTTATAAATGCATTAAAAAGCAGTGAATTAAAACAACAAAGATGTTACTAGGTTCTGCACCTGTTTAGATATTAAATTTAGATATTAAACAAGGGGTGTGTATAATTTTCCAGGAATTTTTATTATGGTAAGATAGTTTCAGGTAAAACTAAGCTGCGGCTTGTGAGTTAACATCAGCGATGGATTTAAAGGGGCAAGCAGTAATTTCTCACGGTTATTAATTTGAAAAAGGGATTCTGTACTTATAAATATACATAGTTTGTAAATATATCTTCCAACATGCAGTCAAAACTTAATTAATCTGTTAAAAAGGCATGGTGTTTTACATATGTGGCTAGAGACTGGCCACATATTTAGTATATCAAAGGCAAAGAGAAGTCGTAGCTGTTCCTATGTCATGGAGGGTTATTAACATTTTTGTTGCACCATCAGACTCAAGGTAATGGAAAGATCATACCTATGTTTTTCATTGGAGATGGGATATCCTTAGAAAGTCTCATTGTCTTCCTCCTCACCTTAAACCTCACCTTCTTAACTGAAGTCACTGCTCAACACAAAAACATGCTCATTTATTATCGATATTGTCACAACTACTTTTTATCAGGTAATCAGAATGTGTCCGTACAGTCTTTGGATAGCTGACAAATCCTGCTAAAAAAACCCAGATGGTTATAAGCTAACATTATGGTAGTTAATGTTTCATTACATGCTCATATCGCATGAAGTTTGTTTTTTAATTAGTGTTAGAGTCCCGTAATGTTAGATCCACTTCAAAAATAGTTTAACTAACACTGACTAACAGCAGCTAATGACAGCAAAAAAGCAGCGTTTACCATCATTTCAGCAAATCTTCAACATCTCATGTCAGTATCACTGTCATTGGTCACTAGTGAGCTTCTGACTCACTGACCTGTGTCAGATTCCTTTCACCAAGTTTTATAGCCTCCTATTGAGTAAATAAGAGTGGACACCTTTCACCCAACATTTTCTATACTTTAGTAGAAACAAGATGGGCATAGATACAGTCTAAAATCATTTTAAAAAATCTCTTGTCCTACAACAGCCACTGTAGCTAGGATTATGCACTTTAATATGGAAGGGTAAGAAAAGAGAAATGTTGACTGCATTTTGCAGTCTATTGACATCTAGCGGAGTGCTTCCGCTCCAGTGTTCCGACATCAGGCTTCGAATTTAACTAGAACCTAGCATGATCTTGGGCTCATGATGTCACCAATGCAGTCCATTATTCAACAAAGAAACTACTTATGCACCAGACAATGAAGTGTCATAGTAAAACAATATGGCATTAAAACTACTTAATGTCTGAATCGCTTTTATTTTTTAAGATTCACTGTGTAATTAAGTACAACTACCTGGTAGAGCATGCACGTATATTAAGTAAATGTTAAGTACTGTGTACAACTTTACGCTTTATAAATGTGTATGCAGTGTTATGTTATGAAATTATGAAATAAAAATGTAAACTGATTTACATAACTGAAAAACCAAAGTCTTCATAATCTGTTAGCATCTACCTTTGTTTTGGTTTTGCGTGAACAACATCATGGCGGCGGGCGACATCCCAGAATGCATTGCGATTTCCGATTTCTAGTAGTAGATTGAAGGATAATCACAAGATCGTCGTCCTGTGTGCTCAAGTTGTAAAACCACTATCTTGGGCTCAATACATATGCGTTGTTCGTTAATTTTAGCTGAGGTTAGGTTTCGTTCATAACACGTCTGTTCTCATGATGTGTTAAGTGGCCCTAGTTTTTGTTTTTCCCAAAAGTCTTAAGATCATTAGCGTCAGCGGTCCGTCACAGTAGGAGTAGGTTATCACTTTTTAGCAATAATTGAAAGCCACCGTGGCACGCGCGTGTGACACGGTGTAGATGACGTTGTTGCACGCTGGCCCCGTGTTGTGTGTTGATTGTATTGTAGGTAAGAAAACGAGTCAGTTGTATAACATGTTACTGTGCATACCTACTGCTGTCAAAGCAAAGTCTGTTTTACATGAATATTAAATATTGTGCGCCGTGTCTCTTGTTATGACCGGGTCATTCAGACTTTCGCCTTGTTGAAAGTGGAGGGTCGGACTTTGAGGGGAAAGTGAGCTCATTCAAACACGAAGCCGACATGTTCAGCTGCAGTCAGATTAAATAAAATGACTGCATCTTCGGATAGGCTTAAAATTGACTTAACAGTGTGCTCCAACAGACACGTCTCTACAATCGAGACGTCCTACCGACAAAAACATGGCGAGAAGCAAAGCATTCACGAAACATTTGTGCGCCTTCTGTCGCTGCGGCTACCCCCACTAACGGCTAACTTGCTAATTTAGCTAGCGGCTAAGTTATCCGGTAGCCCTAAAGAGGTGTAGGAAAAAGTAACTTCTACTTTTTTTAACGACTGGTCTATAGAGGTAATAAAACTGCTTGGAACAACCAAAGATCAAGTAAACAAACAGAAATGGCAACAAGTATCTGAGCAGATCCAAAAGATCCTGTTACAGCTCCCCGGAATTGAGGCAAACAGCCTCTAACAAAATAGCTTAAGTAGGATAAAGTGCAGTCTGACAACACATATATTTTAAAAATTGAAGGTAAAGTAAACACGAAGTGAAAGAATATATTTAAATAATTATACAGTAATATAGTTATGATATAATGAAGCAAAATATCTCAAAAAACAATGGAAATTTAAAATAAATATTGTACTTTTAGAATCAACAGTAAAGTCAGAAGATTAAAAGGACACATGCCTATTAATATGTTGTTGTTGTTTTTAAGAAATCTTATTCTCTGGAAGGAATACTTCTGCTAAACTCTCCTGTAGCTTTAAGCTCGAGATTCTTTGAGTTCCATGTCTCTTGTCTCTGGTTTTACTTATGGTATATGGTAAATGTGTATATAGAAAGAATATAAGGATTATAGCCATGAAATACTATAACAGTTTTAGTTTTGGCGCGCTAATCTTTGTGTGTTAATATTCTCTCTGGCTTTATCCAAATGTATTTTGTGTTTTTTGTTTTGTTTTTCTAGAGAGCTGCAAGATGGAGAGCACAGTGGTCAGGACCTCAGACTCCTCAACTGATAAATATTTTTATTTGAAATGGATCAACAGTCTCCTGAAGACAAACTTCAAAAATGTGGAGGAGATGGGTTCAGGTGATTCATCAGTATGAATAGTCCAATGTATTTCTATGCATCTGGCTTAGCCCACTTTAATAACATTCAACACGATATCACAGCAAAATGTAATAGATGTGCCGTTTCACCGTGTCCATTCCACACTTTGCCTTTCCAAAAAACGTGAAATAGACGTGCATGCAGAAGTTCCATTACTGCATGCAGAAATTGCGTTACCAGCAGGTGGAGAGAAAAGCCTCGAAGTCGGTAATGAGCAAAAAATGTGTTAAGTACATTCCAATTACTGGAAACAAATAAGCTCTGCAGCTTATGTGTATTTATGTGTAAGTGTGTTAATAATGGACTGGCATGACTTTTACACATTTTGCCACGGTACTGGGTTGCAACATTAATCTTAGACTTTAGATTAAGTCTAAGTGCAAATGAGAGACTGAACAGCTCTGTAACCCCGTCAAGCTTTTACTGGCCTTAAGTTAAACTGCTTATGTCATATTTTGAAGCAACTCCAGAGAACACAGTGTACATGTATTGGTTACTGAGATGCTGATGATAAAGTGTTGTTCATTAAATAAAAATAGCCTGTTTCTGCTAGAATAACTGGTGTGGACCGTGTAGTTTTTAAAAAAAAAAAACAACGATTCTCCCTCTGTTAACATAACTTGTCTATGTGTGTGATCTGATAGGTGCGTGCCACTGTCAGATGATGGACTGTGTTTTTCCTGGATCTATTGACATGAGCAAGGTGAAGTTTGATGCACAAAGTGAGGACGACTGTAAGCACAATTTCAGACTACTCCATGAGGCCTTCAGCACAAATGGTATCACAAAGGTAGGTATGCATTAGTTCTCTACTAGAATAGCATTAAAGTGTCTTAGCTCATGCATTTGTTTTAATACATTTTGGTATTAATTTCTCATTGTCATTACCTATTATTGTCTTTACACTGTGTCTACAAATCAGCGAGTCATCACTACTTTCTTACCTAAATTTCTTTGCACTCTGCTTACAAATTTAAAATTTATATATGCAGAAATATTGAAGGTCTAGCTTTCCAAAAATGTCAAGATACACATTTACTAAATTCTTAGCATATTATATCTGTAACATAAAATATTTTTTAAAACTGTTAATTTATTCATGCTTGTGCCACAAACATCAATAGTTTTAATAATAATAATAATAATTACTAGCTATGAAAGAAATGTGCAATTCCTTGTAAGTATAACAGTGGATATATGTCTTTTGAAGAAAACTTTATTCAGTAATGAGTTTTACAATATAGTGTTTATAAATGTTATTTTGTCTTCTTTGTCCTGATACAGAAAATTCCAGTTGAGAAGCTCATAAAAGGGGATTTTAACAGCAACATTAAGTTCCTCAAGTGGTTCAAGGGCTTCTACGCAGAAAATGTGAAAAGTAATGATTATGACGCTGTGAAAGCTCGTGACAGCTGTGATATCAGCCCTATTTTGGTGTCTCCTAAGTCAGGTAATTGTCATGCAAGATTTTCTTTCACTTTGGTAAAGGAATAAGTCTCTGTAATGTGTTTTTAGGACCACAGTTATAGGACATCTGCTGTGATGTTTTTGTTTTCTCTGTTTTACCAGAGAGATCTAAAGAGTCTGACACGGAGGAAAACAGCAAAACGACTAAAAGGTTTCCTTACAGCGAGAAGTGGAATGATGTTTTTGCTTGGGCTGAGCGCAGTTCTCGCGGAGACAACTATACCTACTGTTCCTCCTGTGGTACTGACCTTAGCACTATTAACAAAGGCTTTTTTGAACTTAAGCGCCATGTGGAAACAACCAAACACAGGAAAAGGGCTGCGAAGAAAAGATGTGGTGCAAGAACACAGGTCACTGAGTCACTGCCTTGCAGTGATGAAGCTGTCCAGTTTATTTACAATCACTGTTACACTGGATCTGCTAAAGGTCAGCAGGGATATAGACATTTTGCGCGTTGTAAGCTGGGATCACAGTACCCCAAAGATATCATATCTGCCTGCGAAAACACTCCTTACTGTTTATACATTTATGGAGGGGTACCTGTAGGAAAAGATGAAGCAGTCTCTGTGTTGCTTGTTGGGTTTTTTGATGTTGAAGCCTCTAGTCGCTGCATCAGATTTCTGGATGCTCTTCAGGCAGGGGACGGTGCAGGAGATCAGTCTGCAGCAGCAGTTGTGGGTAGCTTGAAGAAATTTGGGCTATCCACAGATAATCTCGCTGCCGTTTATCTAACTGGCAATGGTTCAGCCACAGAGGAAATCTGTTCTAAACTCAGGGAACTCAACGCAAACATCGTAACCTTAGGAGGCCTGTACACCATCGCTGATGCTGCTTGTCGTGCTGCCATCAAGGAGCTCTCCAATCAGGTTCAAGAACTGATGGTAGACCTCCATGAACACTACTCTGCCTGCTCTACAAAGAATGAAAACCTCAAAGATCTTTTTGACTCAGATGTCAGCAATGACAGCGCATCGCTTCACACCAACACCAGCTGCTTTAGAGTTTGTCTGTTGGTCACAAAAATATTGGAAATGTGGACCGATCTCACACTGTACTTTAGTTCTTGCAATGAAGATGAGAAGACTAAGTCCATCTGTTCTCAGCTTAATGATCCCAAAGTTAAGGCAATGTTTATGTTCCTGCAGCAGGCCTTAGAGCCTCTGCACAGTTTTCAAAGGAAAACACAGGAAGCTTCTGGTACTAATATTGAGCTTATTCTAGAAGAAGCCAATAGTCTGATTTCCATTTACACCTCCTACTTCCTCAGTCCACAGGCTGCTGATCGTTTCCTCATTGAACGTGATGTCCAAATTCTTAAGAACAAGAATTTCCACCTGCCAAGCTCTGAACTCTGTCTGGGTAAAAAAACTGTGGAAGACTTTCTGAAAACGTCTGAAGCTGCTGAGGCACTGCCACTATTACAGGAGGATGTATTATCATTTTATATTGCACTCACTGGTTGTATCGCAGAGGAGCTGCCTTTAAATTACTCAGTGCTGAAGGGCATCGCTCAGCTGCTGAACTCACAGAGCAGGCTGAAAGTGACAGAGGAAACAGTCGGGGAGCTGGGCACCAAGCTGGGAATCTGCAACTTCCCTGAGGAAGTCAAACAGCTCACGAATGAATTCCTTGAGTATCAGAAGGCTCAGGAGGGAGAGGCCGAGGATGGAGGGAAGGGCAGCGCAGCTGTGGTTTCACTGGAAAACATACTGAATGACACCAAGCCAGCCTCAATCTTCAGGAAGCTTCTTTTGATCCTTTTGTCTTTCCCATGTCCTCCGCTGGATGCGCAGCAGGTTTTTACTCAGGTATGTGAATGTTTAGTCAGTTAAGTTTGTTCATATAGACATTTACACACAACAAATGTTAACTAAGTTCTGCACAACAAGTAAACATTAATCAGTTGAAAAAGTATATGTGATTAAGAAAAAATGGTGGATTGCTTCCTGTGGGTTTAGGGTAAGAGTTGGTGTCTCAAGGGATGATTTTGAATATCTCAAGATCCTGTTTACAGTGATGTGAAAGCGACTGAATGGCACACTGGTGCTGCACCCACTTTACCTGTGCACCACTGCAGTAATGCGGGTGTTGTACCTGTTGTTGTGGTGAAGGTAGAGCTGGCCTGTGATTATAAGCTCTGGGTTGTGACAGAATAAAGTAGCAAATAGAAATGGCTGAAATGAGTTTCACCTCAAACTATTTATAGGTATTCAAAGGAGCTTGCAAAGAAAAGCGTCTGGACTTCTTTAAGTTGCTTGAAGACGTTTCACCTCTCATCCGAGAAGCTTCTTCAGCTTCCCAGACGCCTTAACGCCCACTCACATCCTGGGCCATCTGACCTCAGGAATTCGCATGATAAGGTGGGGCCAGGTTTCACAATGAACACACCCGAAACTCTGGCTATTTGGGACCCACACCCAGTTTCACACCTTGGCTCAGGCGAGGTCCTTTTGTCCCTCTGTGGGGGGACACTCCCACTAGGTTTATATCTGGGACTCTCCACCATTTGACCTTAGAACTGAAGAAGCTTCTCGGATGAGAGGTGAAACGTCTTCAAGCAACTTAAAGAAGTCCAGACGCTTTTCTTTGCAAGCTCCTTTGACTACGATGACCTGGATGACTGAGAACCTTCAGACATATTTATAGGTATATTTAAAAACAGCAAACACTGACCAGAAATCAGAGTAAAAATGTCACATATAGCTGGACTCTCTGGAATTAGTGGGTGTGGGATTGATAATGGTATTACTGGTGTTAAATCAAACATGGGGTGTATGGCAGTTGTTAGAGATGATATTTAATCAAGTTTGATCTTTTTGTTAGAGCTTCCTTTAACATATCAAAGGAAATCTTAATTTCCTATCAGCTCTGCTACAGATCCTTCCAGTAGCCTGAGTGACAGGATATTTACTCAAGTAGAGTAGGAAAGTAAACAGATGAACAGAAGGCAACTGAGGGAGATACCTGTCCAAAGACAGGGCAAGATTAGTGTTCTGATACGCAATAAAAATGTCCAGCCGTAGCAGAAATAATCATGCGGGATCTACATGCAGGAAAAGAGGTTTGACAGGTTCTCTGGGTGCAGAAGTTTCAATTTTGAAAGGCATATGGTGAGAAGAGTTTAGAGCACAAATTTGAATATCACAGAGATGCAAATGAAACGATAAAACGTCAGTCCAATGTGTGGCCCCATTCACGAGTGTGGCCTTTGACAAAAAAAAAACTGTTGAAATGGTAAAATCCCCAAGAATTAAAACGGTATCAAATCAAACTAGATTCAGAGGAGTAGAATCACTGCTCCTTTGAAACAAAAGGACTCAGCCATGCATCTGATCAGGAGGAAGCCTCCATTTGGAGGTTTCCAGACAAACTGGGAGGAGATCCCAGGGTAGAGCCAGAATTCTGAGGAGAGATTATAGCTTGTGTGGCTCAGGAATGCTTCTGGATAGCCCAGAAGGAACTGAAAAACATAGCGGTGGAAAAGATAAATTGAAGAGAAATAAATTAGTGCTGTAAGCGTTAATCTTGTTAAAATGACATTAACGCCATAACTGCAATAACACAGCAAATCTCTGTTAACGAGTTGCTGCGGATCGCCTCGTTAACAGAGTTGCTGCGGATCGCAGGTGAGGCTGGGCGGCATCAACGTGTTAGTGCGATGCGTTGACAGCTGATAACATTATTTTAACTAGATTAACGCTGACAGCATTAAAATAAATAAAAGTTAAGAATTAGGAGGGAAATATCTGGGTTAAAAGGGCCTATAAACAAAGCCTTTATTATGCCAGCATAACAATGTCACACTGGAATAATAAAGGTGCAAAATTTACTCGTTTCCTTTTAATTCTTTCCACTTGGTGCTGTCTTTATGTTGTTTTTAAGGCCTTGGAGAATGATCATGTTTGTGGAGTCTCTGACAGTGAAGCCTTAACAGAAAGTGAGTTGGATGTTACGTCTGACACTTTCTCTGACAGCAGCAAGAACTATCAAGTTCGCACACGAGGTAAGAGGAGCGTGTTAAATGCACGAGATGATCATAATCATTTGCTTAATTTGTGGAGTTTAGCAGGAATGAAAGAGGCCTTAAAATACATCAAAACATACAGTGTGGAAAGTATGGAGAGTGCCTGCAGTGGATACTTTTTCCCCACATTTGGTTTCACTTCAGTTCTTCGTATGTTTAACTTCCCTGTTCTCTCTGGTAGACTGGTGGACATACAAAGAACAAACAAGAGTAACCCACAAACCGGTTTTACAACATATTTCTGATATGGTCTCCAGGGAGCTGGGTGGAGATGTAAAGGAAAGGAAAAAACAAGGAAAAAACAAATGAGCATTCCCCCTTATTTTGAACTCTTCTGATCTGGTATCAAAGCAGACTGGACCTTTCTAGCATTTACAAATACAGCTGGTGTCCAGACACGGTGCCTCACTAATAGTTGAAACAATCAAACAATATCAACAACACTAAAGTTTTGATGTAATTCTTTTCCAACTGCAGCTTTGAGATGATCTGATTTAAATGTAAAAGAAGTTGAGTGGGAGTGATTGCATATTTAACTCTGCGCATTCATGTTCTAGGTCAGAATGGCCTTCCTTTGAAAGTGAAACCATGTGAAGTCCGCCTTACAAAAATAGGTAAAGGGAAAAAAACTTTACAGTTCTAGCTGCCTGATGTACAACATTTTAAAATATCATGTTGTTTATTTTGTAGATTGAAAGATCATGCAGTGCACTAAAAAAATCAATAATATAATACTGTTTCCAAAGAGCCAGGTGATGGATATGAAAATAAACTTGGAGTGAATGGTGCCTTATGGAAAGAGGTAAAAGATTTTTTTTTCTCTCTCTGTTAATCCTCTGCTTTCTGATCTACTGCTCTAAAACATTTTAGACTTATGGGCAGATGATGTGGCTATTCAGCCTTTGAATGGTAAATTATGTGAAGTTTAAAATGTGATGTAATAGCTGAACGTTTTATTTTTGCATTTCTCTCTTAAGTCCCTGTCATGTACTAACACCCTGTTGCCCTTCATAGTTTCCAAAATGAGGAAGATGAAGTGGAGTTTGCCTATATGAGGGCGTGTATGTGCGTGTGTTTTGGTTAACATTTGCATGTGCATGTTTTTTGTGTGTAATGAGTATGCTGTCTCTCAGGGGACCATTAGGGGGAATTTTGGCTGGGAGAGCAGCTTGCGCCAGAAGCCAAAGACCCGTACAGTGTTTCAGGCTGGTGATAACACCTGGTCCAAACCCGTAGATCTTGATAAGGACAGCAAAAATGAACTGGGGTCCCAAGATGATGTGGTAGGTGTACTCGAGTATACTACCAAAATACCACTGGGCCATAAAATGCTAGAATTTAAAAGTGAACAAAAAAACAAAAGCAAACAAACTTTGAGCTTCCTGATTTTAAAATTTCAAAAGTAATAAAACATCAGACATTAGTTGACAAAAATATCTACTTGAGTAAGAGCGAAATTATCTGAATATTGAGAATATTGAATAAAAAATGTTCCCGCTTGAACAAGGAGTTGATCGTCTTCTAATCTGAAATGTGAGCGTCTTCCTTTTTTAATGTGCTGAAGGAATGATACAAATCTGCTTCAAACTGCATCCTTAAGTTAATTTTGCTTGTTCGATTTCTGCTGGTGTCTTGTAGATGCTTAATTACCTCAGAGATCTGTGCGTTAGATACATGCGGTGTTACTATTGACAGAGCAGGGGAAGCTAAGCCGGTGGCAGTATGACTAGCACATTTGTCTCCCATTGGTCCGCTGTAAAAGTTTACCTACGCTCTGCATGTCAGAACTTGCAAAAAATGCTCCTTTCCACTTTCAGCTTTCTGAGAATGGGCCTTTGACAACAGGAAACGGGACATGACCACGAAAATTACAGGAACAACAAATTCATGGTAGCTTCCATCCAGAGACAATAGCCAAAAGATGGCAATAAATTACAGGATGAATGTAAACAGAGAGTATGAGATCCTTTATGGGAAAACCACTCCCGATATTCTAGAAAATGGATCCCTTTTCTTATTAGTGCCAGCTAACTAGATGTCTTGTTATGGACCTCCTTACCTTGCTTATACTGATACACACCCATGATTGGTCTCATGTTCCTGACTTTGTTCAAATTGCTTAATTCAAAGACATAGATAGGAATTCAGTATGCATGTTATTGTTAGGGGATTTTGGCCAGAAAAGTTGTTAGGCCTGGCTGCTTAAACTGTTCTGGTGCATAGTGGGGGCAGAAGTAGAGCTGTGTAAATGCAGCTTTTATTACTTCTGTGTGGACACGGCTGATTGTGAGATTACGGTGGGGCACTTGGAAATTCATTTCCCACCTTCAGCACGAAGATATAATTTTCTTCTTTTTTCAGCTGCTCCTTTTAGGAGTCACCACAGATCATCTGCTTCCATCTCACTTTATCCTTAGCTTCGTCTGTCATCTTGCTCTTTTCCTCCTGCCTGGCAGCTCCAGCTTCAACATCCTTTGTCCAACATATCTACTATCCCTCCTCTGCATGTGTCCAAACCATTTCAGCTGCCCTCACTAACATGATCTCTCCACTAAACATGCTTTTAGCCTCTTCTGCTTCTTTTTCTTTGCCCAACAGTTGCATATTTTCAGTTAAATGTAAAACTGTATCATTTTGTCACTCATATCTGATACATTTGATGAAATTCTTTGAAATCCTAAATTACAAAGGTTTTTAAAAGTCTTACTTTTACTTTGGTAAAGTAAAGTTCACATAGACTGAGATATTTAGCAGCGTCAGAGCAGAAGAGGAAGACAAAGAAACGTTTTAAAGCACAGAAGTCAATTAGGACTAACTTCAGCACAAAGGAACACCAGCAGTTCCTGATACCTGACATTGAAACTAGATGTCAGTCAGTCAGTAGCAGCTAATTTTGGAGAGGACTCTTAATTTGAAAAAGGAAAACAAATCTGTGATTTGGAGTACTAAAAACAGAAACACAGCACTAACAAAGTTGAGGGAGAGAAATTATTGAGAGGAAAAACTGATTAGAATCTAGTCCCACATCTAACTTCATTTCATTCAGTTTCATCATTCGCTTTGTTCACCTGAGGTCAGATTAGAGAAAAGGTTAAAGGGGGAATGAGGTTGTCCAGTTATTAAACCTTCCATAATATTGAAATTCAAATTACAGTAAAAGACTCTCAATCACAATTTAATTAATCATATTAGAGTATATTATGACGCATGAAACAAAACGAATGAATGAATCTTAACACTTGCTCCGTACCTTCATTTTAACACATTGTACCACAAATGCAATTCTAGTATGATTACAGTCACAACCTTTGTGTTTTTTTTTTAAAGAAAGACGCTGTTCATCCTCTAAAAATATACATTACCTTTTACTTCTTTGACTTCTTTTTTTACCTAAATGTGGTTAATTTCCAGTCGGAAGACTCTTCAACGCCCAATAAACACACACCAACCAGAGCACGACGTAAACCGGCCTACCAGGTAATGTTACTGCTGCTTTATTTCAAAGAAACACACAAAACCCCAACAACAGATGCATACAGAGGCATTGACAGTTGAATCATATAAAGTGTCTGTTTATAAGAAAATGTGAATAATCTGCTTTTGTTTTTGTATTTTTGCTGTAGGATGGTAAAGGGTTTCTTACAGGAGTGCTGGTGTGGGGTAAGGTTAAGGGGTTTAACTGGTGGCCTGGGATGGTGGTGCCATGGAAAACCAAGTGTGCTCCTGTGGGTATGCGGAGGGTGGAGTGGTTTGGAGACGGGATGTTCTCAGAGGTTAGAATTACAATGCACAACTGTAAGCTGAGCATTATTTGCTCATGATGCAGAAACAATTCTCAGATTTTGTTTACATCTGATTTTTTCTTTCTGTTGCAGGTATACACTGAGGGTCTTACGCCATTTGCTGCCTTCACTAGGTGCTTCTGCAAAAACTCCTTTGCCAGCTTGCCCATATACAAGAAAGCAATCTACCAAATCCTTGAGGTAGTCTTAAATGTTTTATACTACTTTATGTTTTGTGTTGTCTTTCATTTTCCATTTATCTTCATATTATATTCATATTAGTTTGTCTAAGGAGCTTGGAAAGAAAAGCATCTGGACTTCTTCTTTAAGTTGCTTGAAGATGTTTCACCTCTCATCTGAGAAGCTTCTTCAGTTCTAGGGTCAAATGGTGGAGAGTCCCAGATTTACGCCCTGTGGGAGTGTCCACCCAAGAGGGACAATGGACCCCCTAATGATCCTCTACCTTATCACACGAGCCAAGGTGTGAAGACGGGTGTAGGTCGCTATCGGGTGAGCTCATTGTGAAACCTTGCCCCACCCTATGATGTGATTTCCTGAGGTCAACTGGCCCAGGATGTGAGTGGGCATTAAGGCGTCTAGGAAGGGATCTCAAAACTGGATTATAGATGGCAGAGACTTGGTGTCACAAGCCAACGCCTCTGTTCAAAGACCCTTTTCTTTCCAAGCTCCTTAGACTACGATGACCCGGATGACTGAGAACCTTCAGACATATTAGTTTGTGTTGCTAAACCAAACTAATGTAGTTCTAATGGGGAATAACTTATGGTAAAAAGTTTAAAACCTCAAGAAATAGTTCACAAATCTTAATTTCATTATCCATCTCAGGCTGATATAACATTTCAGGTTTAGTTCATCAGATGCTCATGAGCTCCATGAAAGAGCAACCTGGCAACCTCCTGTTGCCATGGGTTCAACATTATTTATTCCCTAACCATTTGGTGAGTGATTGCCGGTTGTCACCTTTTGAAAGTGGAAGAGGGTGCTGCACCAAAAACAACTGTGTTTGCTTTGGTCACTAGAAGATGGCCATAGTCACCAGTCACCTGTAGTTGCATGGAAGACGCCAACTTCTCTTTAAGCACTCGTTAATTAACCACTAAGCTTGGAAAGGTGAAAGTTGTGCCTCCTGAAACCAACACGTTTCAAAAGACGCAGCTTTTACTTTGAAAGCGAAATGTCACTATTTGTGGCTTGTCTTGTACTCGTCACAGTTCTGCTTCCACTTAGGGAGTAGTTAGAGTGTGTTTGCAGACAAGTCGAAATCTTCCACACATAATTATGAATCACTGCATCAACCTGCTAATGACCAAAACAATCAAAGTTGGTGTTTGGTGCAGCACTTTGTACTGACAACAGCATGCACCCCTTTGAAGCCGCTTGCCAACAGCTCATGGAGTGCAGATTTTTACGAAGTGACCACTGTGTCGCCAAACTGGTGTGACTGGACTCTTAGGAAAAGACTACATCAAGTCAAGTATAGGTATAAATGGTTATCTATTGAAGTTACTCGTTCAGTAGGTCTGTTAAAACCGTGGCTTGATTTCAAAACATTTGCTAAAAGGAACAAACTGACTGAGCAACCTTTTATTACAAAAACACTAAAGGCTTGTGTTTGTTGGACTCAGATATGTGTCCTTGTAGATGTCGCTAAAAACAGTTGTGCTGTGTAATCAATCTTGGTACAAAGTGGGGAATTATCGCTGCTGTGAGCTCATGTTAAGTGTTTGAATCATTCGATGATGCACTTTCAGATGATGTCTGTTTTCACTCTACTTACTGTATATTCAGGTCAGTGAATGTTATGAGGTTAAAAGCAGGAGGGCATATTACAATGGAAATTAAATAACAGAGTGACCGTTTCATGTATCGTAGCATCAAGCTGCTGAACCTTGTTTAATGTACTTGTACCATACTCCAGATTTTGATGACATGTATAATCTGCAGTTGGCAGGTGAGAGGTGTGGAAAGTCTTTTCCTGAGGCTCAAGGCAATGAAGAAAAAGAGCTGAAACGGATGTTGGACTGGGCTTTTGAAGGATTTCTGCCAACAGGACCTGATGGATTTATACCTGTTGGTATGTCTGTTTATTTTTAATTCTTTCTTACTTTCTTTATAAAGTACCATATTTTATTTTCCTTCTTCCCTCTTCTTGGTGCCAAATATGTTTCTTAAAAACATCCAAGTTATTTAATGTTCTTTGTTTTCTGCCTCTTAAAGACTCTTCTCCACACGGTCAATCCTCTGACTCGACTCTGTCTGACGTCCCGCCTCCGGCGAAAAGAAAATATGTTTTAAAAAATAAGGGAAATGTCCCCGCCATCATCTATAACAAAGGTGAATGTTATTTTTTTTTATTTTGTACTTGTAAAGAGATATTTGTGAGGAAACTACTAAATGAAGCAACTGATTTTGTTGCCATCATTATTTTTATTTCATGTGAATATTTCATCACAGAATCAATAATAGAAGGCGTCAAAGAAAAGGGAAAAACAATTGAAGGTAAGTTCTTTAGCTAATATGGAAGACACTTGATTTCAAACCACTGATATAAACATAACTTTCTTCTGTTTTTTTTTTTTTTATTTTTTAAGATTTTTGTTTGTCTTGTGGATCAACTGATATTGACGTCCAGCACCCATTATTTAAAGGTGGTCTTTGTCTAAGATGCAAGGTAATGTAATAACACAAAGATTCTGTTTCTCCCACAGCCTGCTGTGTCTAAATTTAGCCATTATCTGAAGGATGTCCTCTATTAAAATCTGAAAACAACCTTATTTTTACAGGCAAACTTCACAGAAACGTTGTATCGCTACGATGACGACGGCTACCAGTCGTACTGCACTATATGCTGTGCAGGCTTAGAGGTCATTCTGTGTGGCAATCCCAGCTGCTGCAGGTAAAAATTCCACAGGTTTTCTTTTTCACATGCAAACATATTGATATTTATGGTTTCTCGATGTGACTTTCGCTTAGGTAAAAACATTTCAATAAGCAAAACAAAGTTCAGCTGTTAATATCAGACTGTTACAGAAATATCTGAGAGAACCTCTTGATGATGGATTCATGAACTTGCTCATGACAAACTGACTTTTATTGGCCTGTTCCATGAGACAACTTTGAGATGACTGGATCAGGCTACAGTTTCCATAATCTTTTGAAACATGCAAGTAGTTTAAAGTCTTCCTCCTGGCATCATTAAACCACTAAAACTTCACATTTGCTCATCAAAATTATGTTGTTCTTGTTGTTTGATCCTGCTACAGAGACACTGCCGATGTGTTTTGTGGTCTCAGAATACACAAAAGGCATTGTTCCTGCAGGGCAGGGGAGACGAAAAAGAATTTCACAGAGGCCGAAGCACACTGGATAACCCCTTGTTGCTTCTTCTTAATCAGAAAACTATAATCAGAAGAGAGGTATTTAGACATTGGGAAGCTTTTATAATATTTGCAGTAAAGTCACTAAGTTCAGCTCACCTGTAACATTGGCTTCACTAATGTTTCCTGTGGTCCACTCTGTGTACATCTGTTTACCTACTACAAACATTGCACACATTGTATTGTGCTGTCATCGTAAAAAAGAGAGCTGAGCCAAAAGGCAAAGCTTTTGATGTGAATTCATGTCTATTAAAACCTTCATCTATGGTCACAAGATCCAAATGACTGAAAGAGTATATGGTGGCAATGGTCAGCATCAGGGTGAGCAGCTCAGCTATTTGATGGGAGCTTTGAGCAGAACTGCTCCTCTTGCTGGTCAAATGGATCCAGCTGAGGTGATTTGGGCATCTGGTTAGACTGGGTGGGTATATAGATATAGATATATATAAATGTTTTTTACCAGGTACCTCATAACATGGATCAAGTGTCTTAATCATAAAGCCGCTTTTCTCCACTGTAAGAAAAGGCACCACAAGTACACGGTAATGGCATGTGTGATATCCACCACTGATTTGTTTTCTCATATGGAGTGCATTTGGTAAAGGCTTGGAAAATATCAATGTCTGCTGGTGTGTAGGTCTAGGTGTAGGGCCACTTTTTTTTCTTTCCACTTGACTGACTGGGCGTTTGTGGAAGGCACAGTTTTTTGCTTTCCTCATATTCCAAAGCGTGCTTCGTTTTAAGGTGATAAAACAAATTACTTGTATATCCTCTCTTTGCTATTACTGTCACACGGCATAATTTGCAGATGATATTTTTCTGCTCAACATCCGGCTGCTTATGACCGACGTCGACAGACCTGTAAGCTCCATGCTTGCAGCCGCTGCCATGCTTTTGACCAAAATAGGCGCAGCTTGATGACATCATCAACACGCGCTATCGCAGTAAGATGGTATAGTCAAAATCTCTACCATTGGCCAAATCCATATCGTTTCTACCGTATACCGTTTATACCGCCCACCCCTACTGGAGAGGTAATGTATCTCCATAATTGGACATTTGGCCTGAGAATCCTCCAGGATCTCCTAGGAGTGTTGCTGGACTGAAGGACATATAGCATATCCTGCTTAGTCTGCTGCTACTTCAGTCTAGCTTCATTGGAGGCTTGATGGATGGATATTGTTATAAACACTTTTATTTCTCCTGAATGATGGCTCTGTTATCCACACCTAAGTTGATGTGGTTGCTTCTTCAGGTTATTTACACTTGAAACTGGGCGAATCCAGATTTTTGAGTCTGTCATTGGTGCACTATACTTCCAGGGCTGAAGTGATCAACTACGGTGTTGACTGCTTATTTCAGTCATATATATTTTAATTGACCACATGATACTTTACCCAGTTATTCAGCTAAAACGCCATCATGAATAGTTCACTTTAGGTCCTGCTTTCAGTTTCTGTTTATTATATCCATTTATGAGAGACAGATATCACTAGATTATTTAATAGTGGGAAAGAAATAAAAGTATCAATTTTAAAGTTTAACTTCTGTGGTCATAAGAAGTTTGATGTCATTCATTTTATGCCAAGTCACTATATCCAGGAGTATCATCATGTCAGGTTGTTTTATTTTTCTTTTGTGATGCACGATGACATCAGGATGGATTACAAAAGTAATGTTTTTGTATGACAAACTAGTTTTCATGGAAACTGAGGATATTGGACATGTCTTTGGTGGAGCTTCTATCCCCAAGCCATCCGGGCCCTAAACACACACACCCGCCCTCTCACATCATCTCACATCATCTATAATTGACTGAGACAGGACTCTTCCAGACACTAAACCAAGGCACAATGTACATTTCAATTCCTTTAATTTTAAATATGTTTATATTGTCTATCCTGTAAAATAGTCAGATGTCTATTCATA